GTGATAAATGTGTCAGTACATTAACAAATCGGACAAATCCAGGACTGCAAACATAAAGAAATGAACAAATGTGTTAACATTCTCTACACCAAACACTGTCAGTCCTGCCATCAGGACTGCAAACATAAAGGAATGAACATATGTGTTAACATTCTCTACACCAAACACTGTCAGTCCTGCCCTCAGGACTGCAAACATAAAGAAATGAACAAATGTGTTAACATTCTCTACACCAAACACTGTCAGTCCTGCCATCAGTACTGCAAACATAAAGTATGAACAAATGTGTTAACATTCTCTACACCAAACACTGTCAGCCCTGCCATCAGTCCTGCAAACATAAAGAAATGAACAAATGTGTTAACATTCTCTACACCAAACACTGTCAGTCCTGCCATCAGTCCTGCCATCAGGACTGCAAACATAAAGGAATGAACAAATGTGTTAACAATCTCTACACCAATAACATTAAACATATACACAACAAAAGATGCAGTATATGTGAGGTCAAGGTGGATAAAAGCGTATGATTTGTGGATTGTGAAAAAGAAACCAAAGTTTCCAAATCATTTCCCACAATTATGGTTTCACAGTCTTCACTATGTTCTGGAAATAAAAATGTCTACAATAAATGACCAACTGTTGTAGGGCAATTCAGAAACAGCTCAGCCATAGCAAAACTAGGCCAGCGCCAGACTGATCTAGTAATTAGTTTGTCAAATTAAAGGAATGATGAGAATGCACCAGCTTGATCTAGTGAATGTCTCCGGTAATGGAATGTGGCAGAATTTCTTGTGTACTGTCAGCAAAATCCAAGGGGCTTCATGTCTCCATGCAGTTTATGAGGATGCTTCTCACCACTCTGAGTATTTGTCTTAAGCCCATTTTTTAAAACTTGTCTAGTTTTCACAACTTCATGTTTGTTGCCTTAGTCCAGGAGCTTGAGGTATATTCTATCACGAGCCTAACTTTCCCGTTGTAGACTTGCCTTGATGTTTTTGTACTGGTTCCCTAGCATATGGCTTTTTCCCAGCCAGACTTTGCAAGCTTGTAAGTTGAAGAAAATATGACAGTCCTGTTGACAATGTGATCCTCACTCCTTATGAATGATATAACTATCAGTGAATCTATCATGGCATATTTCTCAACAACTTTCAACTACTGATCATCACGCTTCCATTTCTGTTTACTCTGGGGAAATTCAGATCAGTTAATTTCCCAGGGGACATGCTCAAAAGCTGACGGGATATTCAAGTTTTCTCTGTCGTGCCATCCATGATCCACATTTTTCTCTCTGCCACCTTTCAGGTCAATGATGTTCTAACAAGGGAATGACACTGGTTACCTAGGTTACCTTTAACTTGGACAATACAAATCTGACTCTTGGTGACAGAAGTTAAATATTTATCTGATTTAAGTATAGTACTGTTTACAGCATAGCTGTGAAATTAACTCTTTGCGCCTTTCGGCCAACACATCCAACTGCACTAGGCATTTGTTCGTGGGACATGGTGTCATCTTTGTATCTTCATCTACAGCACAACTGCATGAAGACTGGTCGGTCTCCAAGGGAATGCATGGGTAGACCATGGACATTCCCAGCCATCCAAGGAGGCTTTCCCCAAATGCAGAGCCGACACATAATCCCTGGTCCTGGGCTCAACCAAAGAAACATCATGTCCAGCACATGGCTGCTCAACCTCACATCCGTGTGTTCAGCTTCCTACTCAACATGGGCTGTGCCCTTCGGAGATCAGCAGGGAGCAGCTCACAGGGCCGGCACTTCGATGACTACAAAAATAGACATGCATGTTAAACACCTTTAATGTTGTTGCACTGGGACACTAAGCATACCAGTATCAGAAAAGCATGCATCAGGCACAGTTTTCCCATTTGGTCCAGACATTCTGACCAGCAGGGTCAACGGTAGTTGGCGTTTGAATCTTTCTGTCAAACAGTATGATAATTTATGGTCAGACATCTGAATCTTGTCTAACAGTATTTGACGTTTAGATGAATGACGGTCGGACTTTTAATCATAACATTCAGATGACTGGGGCTAATGATAGCTGACATATGAACCTTGTCCCACAGTAAGACATTCAAGGGTCAGATGTTTTAACTTTGCTCTTATGCCAAATGACCGAACTATGACATACTCAGAAGAGATGTTGCTCATCTAAGCTGCGAACAAATCTCATGGTCTTGGGTTAGTCTCAACAGATCACAGTGAAGTGGCTGCTAAACTGCATTACGATACCCTGACACGCTGACTGACACATGAGCCATTATTTGTAGAGCATGATGTGGATGTATGGAAGGAATCTTGCATGAGGATTCGTACAAACAGCACAGAATCTGCTGGCGAGGTGAGGCACTGTGTATCTCCTTATACACATCACAATGGCCTTAAATTTTCCTCACACCAGTAGCCAAAATCACTGGGCCAGGTGTCATAGTCTGTGGCACTGTGAATGACATAAGTAAACATTCCCCGAACATAGTCAATCAGACAGGACCTAGTGAATATTCAAGAGTTCAGGCAGCCTCTGCCAGGCAGCTAACACTGTATTAGTGCACAAAGACACACTGACATCTATACATAAAGAGCTGAACCTGGTAGCTGAATGAAGGAATGATGACACACCATGATACAATATCATGATGATGTTCAACAGATGGAGAAAATGCTAAAAACTGATTTCTCAAGCAACAAACTGGAAATAAAGTTTCAACATCCCTGTGTCACAATGGGGCATGTAAACATTGATTCCAGACATTTATTTAGGAAAATGAATCAAGAAAGATTATTCGATGCACACACACAAAATTTGCACTGACCTTTCCCGAGTGTAACCTAGTTTAGGATCTGTGTAATTGAGAATGTCTTCTTGGGTCCAGTTAGGTGCCTGGTCTCCACACAACATACTACCAAGTTCCATTGGACTGAATGAGTGCAGTTTTGCCATGGGGAAAACTAAATTAAAGCCATCTGAAATAACATCCAAACAAATATGAGACCACTAAAAGTCATGAATGGAATCAACGTGGGAGAAAATAACATCAACAATATAGGATATGCGTTGTTAACTGCAGACAATAAGAGGATCAGCAGTGTTCAGTAGATGGAGTAACAGAGCTCAGTGAACAACTAGGCTTAAGAGTTAAACTGTAAAAAAGCAGACATTAGGGTCACCAAGAGAAATATCAGCGTGAAATACATGCTAATGGCAAAAGTGTTAAACAAGTGAATAGATACTGTCTTGGAACAGTCAAACCACCTGATACAAGATCACTTGCAGAAATAAAAGCAAGGATTGCCATGGCAAAAGCAATCATAGACAAACATTTACTCACATAAGAGTGCAAATATCGTACACAAACAAATGAGGATGTCCTCACAGAGACAGGTGAAAAGTGTACAAGAAATAGAGAAATGAGACATAGAGATTTTTTTCAAGATTGTGTTGGGGTAATACTGAGGCAAGGTATTTTTTTATTTTGTTGTTGTTGCCGGTGGGCTACAAACCCTGTTATATATTTCTTCCCACAAACATTCATCTTACAAAGATCTGTGTGTATCAGTAACACAATACTCCTCTGCTGTTTACTAGGTATCGACGATATTGACCTGCCGTCTTTTCTTCTAATTTGCTTCCTAACCTGTGATCTGTATGTTATCAGTAGAATATAAAGTGCCCTGTTTTGAGAAAAATGTTTACTTTTGTGGCACTATTGCCAGCTGGATTATACTGTTAACTCTGATGCCTCAGAGATTTGTTAGTGCTGCTGCAAAATTTAAAGCGTATAGATCTATAACTATAATGTCCAAAGTTTATCTAATACCATACGCAATACAATAAACATATAAAACAGGGTACACAAATTTTGTGGGAAATGCAATCAGATTACACAGCCCATTATCACAACATCTAGTTTGAGAATGGAGGTGGAGGCAGTCTCTGCTGCCTTGCGCTGGCTTGAGAATCAGCTGTACACACATGAGGTGATTGTCACTGACTCACAGAGCAAGTTCAGAAAGGTGGATACAGGTATGCTCTGTGCAGAGTGGTGAGCATCACTTCAGATGTCCCGGGTCCTTTGAATATATTCTCTCCAGGATGTGCTGGTGTGTTGGGAAATGAGCAGGCAGATAGACTGACCGTTTATGCACCACTTGGTGAGGAACGGTTGAATGACAAGCTAGACGTTGTGAAGGCCCTCTGGGAGCAAGTGAACAGTGAGGAGGCGCAAATAGATCATTACGGTCTGAGGAGAATGGCGCTGCAAGGAGTTACCAGGGGATCTGGCCAACGCTCAACATTCAAGGTGGGCAGGACAGATATACAATCAGACAGTTACTGGTGCCATTGGAATTGGAACTCTTTGTTTGCCGCTGCAGATGGGGATGGAGCGCTTATGGGAGTATCCCGAGTTCTATGATGTTGATTCTTAATTCAACATTCAGCCCATTTAAATCCTGCAGAATTAGATCAGCGGAGCCTCACTGTTTCAACTAATTACAAAGGGAAGAAAGAGTTGTGTAGCAAGGAGATGATTACAGTTGACGGCCTGCTTACTTTAAGCAATAATAACCAACAAGTTTACTAGCTACTGGTCACCTAGATATAAACTCTACAACACAAGTGTTACCCAGATGATTAAAAATTGATACCTACAGGACAAGAACTGCCAGACAAAGATGGTGGTCAAAGGTTATGCCTACAAGTCAAATATTACTCCCAGTGGTCAAAACTGATCAAAAATGGATATTAGTGATTTATTTGAAGAAAACAATTTACCACATACTATCTTTATGTCACAAAACATGCAGCAGTAGATGACTTATTGGCTTTTGAAAGCACACTGCACTACTTTATAACCAGAATGTGTGTGAACTTACTTCTAAATGCTTCCATTTGCCGTCTGATGCCAGAAACTAAACAAAAATTTTAAAAGCACACTGCACTGCTTTATAACCAGAATGTGTGTGAACTTACTTCTGAATGCTTCCATTTGCCGTCTGATGCCAGAAACTAAACAAAAATCCATCACCAGATCTATGTATTCTTCTACATTGTCCAAGCTGACCTCCTCCATTCCTCCCCCGGGTTTCAGATGATGTGCATGGAATTTGTGTACCCGGGATGAGGGGTCAAACTCAAATGTGAGCCTGCAAAAAAACGGCCATCAATACATGTATGCATTAACAAGACTACATTACCATAGAACCTCAACTCTAAATCAATCATTACAAGTAAACAGAACTTTTCAAAAGGAATGAAAAAGGAGAAAACACTACAGATTAAATAATTATAGCAAGGTTTTAGTGCTGTCAAGAGGCATACAAATCAGGAGCATAATACTAATTCAAATATTGAACGCATGTAGATAAGAATTAAAGATTTCCCAAACAATTCACAACCCATGTAAGAAAGCTATAACAATAGACATAATCACAATGGCCAAGGATCAGAATTTACAAACATAGTCACAGTATGCGCACAGACGTGACAATGACTGTTTGGTGACAGTGTGATGCCAGTTAAAAAAAAAGTAAGTAAAGGACCCCTTTCCCCGCCTTTAGGCTTATAGGGCTAGACCTATATTTTTATAGCCCAATCGGCACAGGAGGGTGATGTGGTCAGCATCACGCCGGCCACCTTTACTTTCCCGGGACAGCACCCGGTACCCACTCAAGGCTGGGTCGACCTGGGAGCCAATGTCATTTTGAAAAAAGTCTGGCTCCTGTGATGCCAGTATGTTTTTATATCATTGTTAACCATAATTATCATCAATATTTAAATTTTACAACATTCGTATGATTTTAATGTTTCAACATACCAAATTAATTTCAAATTGTGGTTTTTGTTTGTTTGTTCAGGTAATGTTTTCAATATGCAAATGGTATTTTTGATGTATTTTCACTCTATAAATTAGTGAGGCCAAACAGAATCCAGGCCATAATTTTTTGTGGCTTCCTCTCTTACCATGACACACACTGTTAAAATTCATTCAGTTCAAAGTTTATAATCTAAAAAACATCATTTTGTAATCTTTAAAAAAACATAATGGATTAATGAATGGCTTATTTTTGGTCTCCTTGCTGTGCTACATCAGGATTTTGCAAGATAACAGTTTATAAATAATTAAAAAAATAGAAGTGAAGAAGCATCTATTTAAAAAAAATTAATTTCAAGATTCAATTTATTTGTTAAATATTTTGTTTGAAAATTGTAGCAAAATCTTTCCTCGGGATTTGATTTATTTTTATCAGAAGTGCCATTTTAGTAAGCATAAATTGCTTATAGTTTAAAACTAACAACCTTGAAACAAACTTTGAAAACAAAATCACTCTTTAAAAAAGAAAAAGTGGCGCTGTCTGTATGAGGTGTTAAAACAGATACATCTGTTTATAAACTATATTTACAAACATGGACCCAAACAGTTTCTTTCTTTGCTTGAAGAAAACCTCTATATTTACCCCAACTCCTCCAGCCTGATTGCCACACCAGATTCCTCGGTACTGGGCAAAGCCAGCTCAGCCAACAGAACATTCTTCTTTTCCTCGGGATTTGATTTATTTTTATCAGAAGTGCCATTTTAGTAAGCATAAATTGCTTATAGTTTAAAACTAACAACCTTGAAACAAACTTTGAAAACAAAATCACTCTTTAAAAAAGAAAAAGTGGCGCTGTCTGTATGAGGTGTTAAAACAGATACATCTGTTTATAAACTATATTTACAAACATAGACCCAAACAGTTTCTTTCTTTGCTTGAAGAAAACCTCTATATTTACCCCAACTCCTCCAGCCTGATTGCCACACCAGATTCCTCGGTACTGGGCAAAGCCAGCTCAGCCAACAGAACATTCTTCTGATCATCGGTTAATGTCTTGTCCTTCAGAATCCTCTGTTTCCTTTCCACAAGATCATGAAGTTGTTGCAAAAATGCTGCTCGGTGCGGATTGATGATTGCAAAATCTTCTTCATTGAGAATTCCAGCAAACCAGGGTTGGTGAGACTTTGGCTGTTTCACACACACAAAAAAATAGGAGATTGTGCGACTGGTAAACAATAAATCATCACAAATAATGACTACTAAGATATGTATTTCTTCATCTTCTGTTTATCTGCTGTTGAAGCAAAGGTGCTAGGTACTGCAGCTAGTAGTGTTAAGGTTGGCTAGCTTCTCTTTGGAGAGGTAAAAACAAAGTGAAATTTAAGTAGCCTGCCAATGACCCGCAGAGCACCCAGGTAAACTCCACATCCTCGCTAACGTGGCAATGGCTCGCCTGGAAGGAGACAGGCACCAACCAGGTCAGATTTTTTCCTGCTCCGCCAGGTGACGAGCCTAGTAAGCCAGCATTGGTGTACCTGATTGCTACTACGCAAGAAATACTGAACAGGTATAGGACAAATAATGTGGACAAACAAGACAGTGAAACACACAAGGGCATTTTCATCTTGAGCCAGCCATATTGAAAAAAATGTTTGCAAACATATCAGAATTTAGAGCTTGACTAGTTCTAGAGCCCCAGTTAATGAAGAGACAGTTCAGTTTCAGGAAGGGGGAAAGAGCTGTACAGATGCAAGATTTTCTTTAAGGCAGATATGTCAGCAGTCTATCCAATATGACAAAAGTCAACATCTTATATTTATAGATCAAGAGAAGGCATTTGATCAAGTCAACAGATGCAAACTATAAAATTTTAGACGATTATGGTATTCAAGATCAACTGTTGGGTAACACCATAGCTGTTGACCAAGACAGTCAGTGCACAGTATGAACACCAATAGGAATGACTGATTCCCCATCTCATCAGGTGTCAAACATGGATGTGTCCTCTTACCATTAATATTCATTACTTACATGGATATAATTATACAGGAGAGAAATATAGACATTGAAGAAATCGATGAACTTCTTTTTGCAGACGATCAATGTCTAATACACCACCAAGAACAGAATTTACAGCACCATTCTGACTCCTTACACCAAAACTGCACAAAGTATGACATGAGTATAAACAATAAGACAACTGACGTAATGAGGATGAGCAGAAAACATAAAATGATGAACATTCACGTTAACGGTACTTCAATCAAACAAGTATGAGAATTCAAATATCTAGGGAAAATAATTACAGAAAATGGCAGATTCAACAGAGACAAGCCAGAGTACAGAAGGCAAATGCTGTCATCTATCAGTTAGCTCCACTGCTTAGACACCCAAAAGTCTCCCTTTCAGCAAAACAGCAGATAATTATAGCATCTTTATCCCTGCTTTATGTTATCTGTGCCAAGTGTGGACAATGAATATGGCACTAGAACAGAAAATAACTACATGTGAAATGCACTGTCTCTGCAAGGTAACATAACAACACAAGAACAGACAAGGTTACGAACACAAGCATTAGAGAGAAAGCTGGAATAAAACCGTCTGGATCATTTTGATAGACAAAGAATAAAATAGTTTGGCCATTTAGTGAGAATGCAGCCACGTCAAACCGCAACTGAGACTTTTTTACAGCAGAACATCTGGGAAGAAGGCAAGAGAAAGACCAAGAAAGAAATGGATAAATGGTGTAGCCGAAACCTGCACTAAAATGAAAAAATCCATTCACCAAAGCCATCCGAGAAGCACAAGATAAATACAGAAAATTACAACACTGGGCTAGAACCTGGTATCAGCAAGACAACAAAAGAAGAAGAAGCATAGGCCCACAATCAACTTGTGTCAAGCAGCTCCTGTATGTTGTTATACTTGGAAGCCCTCTTCATATTTCCTGATATTCATCTCTGTCTCTAACTTTTGACTCTGTGTTTTTTAGGTTTTCTCTCTATTTCTTTTGCCCTGAGTTTAATTTTCTGATTTTGTCATACAATTTTAGTTCCATTCTTTGTAGACACCAATTAATACATGTAAGCAGTTTTTCAGTAACTGTCTGGTTGTTCTCCATATTTCCTATTCTTTCAATAGTACTAATTTAACATTCTAAATTTAATTTCTTCTGACTTTCTCAAATATTCTGGTGCCATGAATTCTTGCTTCTTGTGCTCTCAGTTTAATATCTCTATCTACTGTCTAGTAAGCTGAATATATATCATTTGATGTTTGTATGCCAACTTCTATGTGACGCCTCATGTATGACTGATCACCAGAAATGTAAAGCTGAAAGTGGTATCCTTTCACCATTTACTACAAAACAACTTTAACAAGAAAACAAGATGTAATGTACTGAAATTCTGATTCATGTATTATTCTAGGGATTTCTCATAATACCATCAAACCTAAACATTGATAAAAACAAATACATTTGTATTTTGCAAAGATTGTTAGAGACAGCTGTCATTAGGGAGCAAGAAAACAAGATGGAATACAAAGAAACTAAAGGAAACAACAATCTATTATTAGTATCTTACTTGTTGCCGTCTATCATTTTCTAATTTCATTTCTTTTTCCACCTCCTCTATACTGGCAATGAGATCAGAGCTTTCACTGTGCCAAGACTCGCCGAGAGTGCTCGGTGTCCGGCTGATGTCTCCAAACTGCTGCGACAAGCTGTACCCAACCTCACCCATGCACATCAGTTTCAGGAACGGCCGAGAAAGCGGCATATCAATGAGGCGATTGTCTTGTAGGCACTTGGCTAGAAGTATCCCTAATGGAGTCAACAGAAAAACATCTCAGCTACAGAACATTAAACTAAAACTTTAAACAGTAACTAGACATATTTCCAAAATATTGTTTAAGGTGAGCCACTTCCCTTCATGCCGGCGTAATGCTGACCACATTACCCACCGAGTGCCGATTGGTCTGTAAAAATATGGGTGCTCTTCCCATATGCCTGATGCGCCTAAGGGCGTGTAAAGGGATCTTTACTTTACTTTACTTACTTCCCTTCATACAAACTAGCTTGCTTCATTACTAGAGCTGACATGTTCTCTAAAGTACTGAATAAAATCAGACATGCATTCACAATCTCAGACTGATTAAAGGAGAATCCATGCAGCAGATATTGGTAGAGGATCTGTAATAGACAAGAATCAGTCAAAAATGATTCCCAGTGCTGAGTATTTCACAAAACTAATAAGGAATAATTCTGCACCATAGCAAAGCTCCACAGCATAGCAACTCATATTTCCCACCAGCTGGAAAAGTTTGTTTACACAGATGTCATAGGACACCACATGGATGTAAGCTTTGGGAAAACATTTCATCTCATTAACTTTCAAAAATGATTTTCCTAATAATCCCCCCCCCCCCCCCCCCCCCCCCACTTACTTTTACTTTCATTAAGGACTGTGTTTTTCAATTTTCTGTCTTTTCATTTTCCTCAGAAAGCAATTTCTGTTACCATTATTAACCCTTTGCTGCCACATACTCTGCAGCCAATGTTACTATTGTGGTAAGCACCGAATACATTTCTATCCTCCAAACGCACAAAAGGCCCGGTCTTCTTCTGCCTTTCTATCCCCCAATGGAGCATAGGCCCTCAACCAACTCACCCCAAGTCGTTCTATCCTTCGCCATTGCATGGAGCTCTCCCCATGTCCTCCCAATCTTTCTAACCTCATTCTCCAGCTCTCTTCTCCATGTGTTTTTTGGCCTTTCTTCATTCCTATGCCCCTGTGGGTTCCAATGCAAAGACATTCTAGTCATGCTGTTCTCCTGTTTCTCAGTGAGTGTCCTATCCAACGCCAGCGTCTTTTCCTCACCTCTTGGTCCACTGGAGTCTGTTTAGTTCTCTCCCAAAGTTCTACATTAGTTATTCTATCATACCATTTTATTCCCTCAATTCTGCGCAAAATGCCCCGGTAGTGAGGACTAAATTGTGAACGCCCAGAAATATTCATCCTAGCGATTTGGGTGGTTGGCTCGAGTGTTGACACTATGGTGTGACAAAACCATCTCAATGATTTCAGAATTTTGTGTTTAATAATTTCTTTTGTTCAAAAAAGAAATTAGGAATTATATTTACTTTGCCCTAAGCCCACATACTAAAACCTTGTGGGATTAGAATGTTTCCAGTTCTCAGACCAAAGAAACTCCTCCTGGCCTCAGATTACATAATATTGCCAGCCAGTCTACCTGAGAAAACAGAGGTGTCCAAAATATTACATAATCAGGCTTGACACTTCTGAACCTGCCAACTCAGGGAAACTAATCTGGGCAAGTAAAAAACTCCAGACATTAAGGCCCCAGTGGAAAACACTTGGCTAGTTTTTTCCACATCTTTCAGTGAGACAAATTTGCCCCACTTAATAATGTTTCACAAGAAGGGGACAGTCAACTGATTGACAGCCACACACAAAAAAGATAACTAGATTGAAGATACCTCAGGGCTGGGGCATAAAGCCTCTGCTGAAGGAAAGAGTTTGATACAGATAAGGGGAGGAGCTAAACTCTGTTAACTGAGATGAGGGGAAAGATTAGTACAATTAGAAGTCTTGAATTCATTTCAGACTGCTGCCAAAATGCCACCGAATAGGAGCTACACTAGAAAGTTACCCTAGCTGTGCGAGTCTTTTTTGGCAAACTGCTAGAATTTTCCCAGTTCCTATCAGGGGCAAGGACCAATCAGCACTATCCTAAGCAGATGGTCCAGTGTTCGAACCTACATTGCATGTGAGATCAGCAGGCAGTCTCAAATTGAAGGCTGTCTACAGTTTTTAATTTTTTGCAACTAAACTTACATCACAATGTTTTTTTTTTTTTTTTTTCAAATGTATCATCATCATCATAAGAACATCAATGTAATCTCAGATGCTCATGGTTCTAACTGTAGGATCTCGTTACCACCCCACCATCACTGTTTGTTCAACTACTCTCAAATGACAGATGTCATCCAAATGATTGCTAATATAATAAATCAATATATCAAGTTTAATACTACATTGTTTGTCGAATTCCAAGTGTATTTGTTCTTACATGTTTAATTAAACGGTACGATTGAATTACATTTGGTGGGGCTCTTTCATAATTCTTTATCAGGAGGAGGTCGTTGGGATGGGTTACCTGCTCTGCCTAACAATTCATTAATTTAAGTAATCTAAGACATTTAAAACCCCCTTTCCTTCTTCTGAAAGTGAAAATGTACATATTTAAAAAAATGTCCAGGAGGATTTGAATGCAGGACCTTCAGGGTCAGTTGGGTCCGATATGGTTAATAGTTACTGCCCTTTGACCCCCACCAGTATACGGTCTGTGGAAATCTGTAAGGGAAGTCAAAAACTTGTTTTTACGCCCATAGCAGTGAGGGCCAAGAAACCAGGATTATATCCAAAGATGTGCGAAGCAGTGTACAGGCAAGTGTGAAATACGTCCACAGAAACGAAAGAGTTAATCTTCCACTTCCAGCTTGTCTGCTTATTGTCCATACAAATACAATATCTGATTATTGTGTCCCAGCACCTACTTTGCAAATTTGCCACCAGCTCATTTGCTGGTATGATGCAACAGGGTGGGATTCACTACAGCAGGGCAATTAAACTAAATTTACTCACCGGCCAGCTTGTTGAAAAAGGGATTTTGTCGCATAACTCAAAACCCTAGCACAGAAAATCATTAATACAATACAATTAGCAGATGACATGCGGACCATTTAGTAGGCCTCTCTAGGCCAGATTTGGCCTGTGGGTTGCCAGTTGAATAGTTCTGCACTACAGTATAGTTCTGAATCAATGTATCTGGGACAGAAGATATTGTCTGGGATTACTGTTGCATTATAATGCTTGGAGAACAGACAGAGCATCAGTCAGTTTTACTAATAGCTACATGTTGTCTTCTCATTTTCAAGATCTTCACCTGCAGTTAACATTGCTCTGGCTTAGAAATCATATTTCAAGTACTGTTTGGTTGTTATACTACTACAGCAGTCTGGATATTCTACATTTGCATCAGGCACACCATTTACTGAAGCATTTTGTGCTAATCTAAGTGTCTGCATTGAAAATGAGTTTCTTTATTATACAACAGTTTTTTAAACCAAAATTAAATCACTTTGCAACACATCCAATTTAAAAAAAAATATAATGAAATAATTCACGCTGACTAAAGTCAGTAGTTATTACATAAATGATTTAATGGTATAAACAAAAATGTACCCATGAAATGAAATATTGACTCCACCCTATCCAGTTCAGGGCTGTTCTGGGGAAAAGGTGCTGGAAATAGTCCACTTGATCTCTGTACATAATAGCCTGGAGGTTTCATGCCATGGCCAATATCAACCTGTTACAAAGAGAGGCATGTACTATTAGTGAGAGAACATTCAATATCAGCTTTTTCTTTTTTTTTTTTTTTTTTTTTTTAAATAGGCAATTTTGTCAATTTATAAACAAATACATCAAACTGATCTGTATGCTATTATTTCAGAGCATCTGTTGCAATCTTCTCTTGGAATGCCAGCTGAAACGCATTACTACTTTTCTTCTCTCACCAGGAAACAGCTTTTTCAGTCCACTATGTTATGTTATCTTTCTGACATTTGCCTTCAACCTTTCACTATTATGTCATCTTCATTATGATATTTTTTAATAATGCTGATCTCACCCAGTCATTGCCGCTTCATTTGCAAACATGATTATTTGTTAATTATTATACATTTATAACTTGAATCTATCGCTGCCTGTTGTGTAATTATCTATTAGCATACTTTGCCTGTCTTTAGAGGGTTTGTTTAGTTCTGCTTTGTCCTCAACATATTCCATTATTAGAAAACTCAGTACTGATTTGTTTAATCAATAATTTAGAGGAGGTACATAGCCTCAGTGCACTGTTTACATTGTCACTCTGTCTACTCTTACTGCTGCAGGTTCTACAACTTTAAAAAGAAAGATTGCACTATTGGAAGAGATTGAACATAGTGAGAAGAAGAAAGTGGATATAGCTAGGGAATATGGTATTCTAAATACGACACTTCCTGACATTTTTAAGTATAAGGAAAGCTACAGAACATTGTTTTTCGAGTATAAAATCAAAAGTGACAGACAGCGATCTAGAACAGCGACATGCGATTTAGTTGATGCTGCCCTTTTAAAATGGTTCAACTGAGCTTAGATCAGCAAAGTACCCATGAAAGGGCCATTAATTAGGGCAAAAGTAGAGGAATTTGCACGTCTTGGAGATCAGACAGACTGGAAATGTATGCTGGCTGGTTTGATCGTTTTAAAAAAAACGCCACTGCATAATATACAAGAGTGTGTGTGGAGAGAAACAATCTGTTGATGAAGCATCAACTAATTCATGGACAGATGTGCTTAAACTTGCTTTGGCTAAATATAATTTAGGGGATGTATTTGATGCCGATGAAACTGGCTTATTTTGGAGGCTGTTACCTGATAAAACATTTTCCTTCCAAAATGAAGCGTCATTGTGGGGGAAGTCTTAAGAAAGAATAACAGTGGTTGTGTGTTGCAATATGGATGGTAATGAAAAATGATCTTTATTCGTGATTGGGAAAGTTAAAAATCCTTGTTGTTTCAATGGCATGACAAAATTGTGTTTATTCTTCATCATCATCATCATCCCATAAAAGTACGTGTCGTTGGATCATCAGTTTCTGTTGTCTGATCAGCTCTCTCCACCTTTGGCGGTCAGTTCCGATGGACTTCATGGTTGCATGCCTGAGGCCTGTCCAGTCAGTCAGGTTCTATAACCAGGTCTTTCTTGGTCTATCTCTTCTCCTCATTCCCTCTACTGAGCCCTGCAGTATTGTTTTTGAGAGGCTGTGTTAATTACAGAGCCAATTCAAAGGCATGGATGACATCAGAATTGTTCACTGAATGGCTACAAGAATCTGATTCTTCAAAGATGCATTTTAAAAAATCCTTTAATCGTTGACAACTGTTCAGCCTACAAAAGAACTGACAATCTGAAAGCAACAGAACTTTTGTTTCTGTCGCCTAATGCCACATTGAGATTTCAGCCTTGTGATCAAGGTATGATTCAAAACCTTAAAGTCTGTTATGGATCTACAATGTTGTCAAAACTTGTAGGTCAAATGGATGCTGACTTCATTCAGTTCAAATGATTTCAAAATTACCTTCCTTGATGCTATTTTAATGTTAAAATCTTCATGTAGCAGAATTTTGCCTGCAACTATTGCAAACTGATTTAGACAAGCTGGCTTCTTACCTGCATTAGACGTGCCAGTCAATGAGAATTCTGCACCATCAACAAGCAATGAGAGTCATGTTACTGATATTTTAGTGCAACCATTACTTGCTAGGTTGTATCAAGAGCTGAACATTTAACCAGAGGAGTATGTAAACATTGATAATAATGTTTTTATTAGTGCCACTCTTTCAAACAGTGATATTCTAGGGCTATGTATGCCAACCACTCAACCCATTTGAGCCCTGACTCTGATGATGAGGATGACTGTGGGCTGCAAGCACAATCTGTATCACAGTCACATGTTTTGGCATGCATGGACAAAATTAACATTCACATGATGTAATCTCACCATTTGTTGCATTTACATATGCCATGAAAAAACATTTCTGACAGTCCAAAAAGCAAAGCAAAATCACATTATTGTGATAAACTAAACATAAACTAATGTCTGAATTTTCTTATGATTTTAATGTTATACCTTCTAAAATAATTAACTATTGCAACTTTTCTGATATTGTTTTGCTATTTATTTGTTAATTTATGGTGTTTCCTAATTGGTATAATTGTTTTACTCAATGCTACTGCTTGGTTTTAATGTACATTCTCTAATGCGTCTGCTGTCTAGATAAGTAGAAGTCCTGATAAGTTCAAGCAATTTCTTAGGTCCCTGCAACTTCTACTTATCCAGACTGGACTGTATATAGTGTTACTGAGATGACAGTGTTACAGATACCCTGGGTGTGATATACATAGGGCAGGAAAGATTGTAAAATGTTAAGGATCTAATGATGATACTGATTAACTATTTCTCCAAGACAGTGTACTAGTTTTTCATAACAGTTAGCCAAAAGTTGTCACAGAGTGTGGTTAAAGACAAAGATCATTTTCACTGTACTCTACAAGTGCTTCAGTCTCTCCCCAGAGATAATCTCAGGATAGTATCTGAACTCTGTAGCACTAGCAAGGATTTAAAAACAAGTGTGGACCCAATCATAGAGGTGCACTATTCTGCTGCTTTCCCCTAACTGCAGTTCGTTTGTTAAAGTGTGATGCATGCACTTGGGTAATCGGAGATTTGTCCTTATCTGAGATGGCCAAGCTACTGATCCACTGCCCTAGGATCAGAGTGAAATATACCATTAATTTTTTTATTGTTTAAACATTCATCGGGTCCACATCATGATTGGAACCTTGTCTGCTTTAGCTAGAGGTAGAAGTCTTAACCTTTCAACCACCCTATGTTTATCAACTTTAGGGTTTTACATAGCCCATAGCATCTAGTTATTATGTCACCATGTGTCTACAGTTGGCTACACATGCCAGTGTTTGACTTGTCACTGTCTCCACAGACAGACAGCTGTATTTGACAGTCACCTGAACAAACTGTGATTATCAGGATTAAACCTTTACCATATGCAATGTCTTCCAAGCTGAAAATGATATTTCACCTTAATGTCAAAAGTCTTACTGCACTGTCAGAATACTAATTTCCTTAAGAGATGATTTATGAAAACTGAATGACTTTTCTTATTGTAATGTAATTTGGAAAATCTAACCTCTCTTTCAGAATGGTCGACATGGTCATCATCACACAACCACAAACCAAGAGATTTCTTCTGTAGTTCAGCTGCTACCAAAGCATAGAACTCCAAGGTCGGCCCTAGTCCTGTGCCTTCTTCACCTTTAAATTCAATCTAGTAACAAACAAAGATAGGCAAGATTGAAATTACCTCACAGCAAACAATTTAAAATAAGTAATACAAAAAAAATTATTGCAACAAAAGTTGCCTCCTGTTTTCTAGTTCTTCTTCTGTTGGTTTTAGCCTCTGCAGATGTATGACAAGACTGGAATCGAGTAGAATGGGCCTCATATGCTCCATCTTTTTTCCCAAGTCAGCATTTCCCAAGTCACCTACACGAATTTTGCCTGTTTGGATAATATGCTTTGCTTCATGGATGACATTTCTGGCTTTACTAAATAAAATTAGTCTCATTATTTAACTGCCAGACAGTGTAGAATCAAGTATGTTTGGGTTTCATAGATGAAGTACATGCTTGCAGGATTTGAGTCATTTAAGGAACACATTCTGTATTCTGATGAATTAAAAACTAGGTCCTGCCATAAGATAATATCTGATGTTAATGGGTCTAGAGAAAGAACTAGTAATGTAGTTGAAGAATGCCTCACTTAACAACAAGATAAGATTTGTTTAATTGTAAAAAAAAAAAAGAAAACATTTGTGTAAAACACTCGGTGTAGCAAATAAATTGCTTTATCCATATATACAGAGGACAACATCAGGAGATAAACAGCAGTCTGAGAATGTTTTAAACCAGGTCAAGGATCACTTTTGGAGATCCATGGTGGCCAACTCCCCCTGTGGAAACGGTACCTGATCATTTACTAGATCCATGGCGGCCAACTCCCCCTGTGGAAACGGTACCTGATCATTTACTAGATCCATGGCGGCCAACTCCCCCTGTGGAAACGGTACCTGATCATTTACTAGATCCATGGCGGCCAACTCCCCCTGTGGAAACGGTACCTGATCATTTACTAGATCCATGGTGGCCAACTCCCCCTGTGGAAACGGTACCTGATCATTTACTAGATCCATGGTGGCCAACTCCCCCTGTGGAAACGGTACCTGATCATTTACTAGATCCATGGTGGCCAACTCCCCCTGTGGAAACGGTACCTGATCATTTAGACTAGAACGGTCCATGGCGGCCAACTCCCCCTGTGGAAACGGTACCTGATCATTTACTAGATCCATGGCGGCCAACTCCCCCTGTGGAAACGGTACCTGATCATTTACTAGATCCATGGCGGCCAACTCCCCCTGTGGAAACGGTACCTGATCATTTACTAGATCCATGGTGGCCAACTCCCCCTGTGGAAACGGTACCTGATCATTTACTAGATCCATGGTGGCCAACTCCCCCTGTGGAAACGGTACCTGATCATTTACTAGATCCATGGTGGCCTACTCCCCCTGTGGAAACGATACCTGATCATTTACTAGATCCATGGCGGCCAACTCCCCCTGTGGAAACGATACCTGATCATTTACTAGATCCATGGCGGCCAACTCCCCCTGTGGAAACGATACCTGATCATTTACTAGATCCATATATTTATTTGAAAGCCATATAGTGTATAAAAATGGTAGTCTAAAAAAAAACAGTATACATAAGTTCTAACAAATATTTTTGCAAACTTTCTGAAAAACTGATCACACTAGTCTACAAATTTTCAGGTTTGTTTTCAAATACATAATTTCTTGATTTTGACATGCTAATTTCAAATAGTATAATATTCTCCAACTGGCTCCTGTTTTTAAAATAAATGATAAATTTACAAGATAGTAAGACAACAATTTCATTTTTTTTTTTTTTATTCTCAGGGGTAAACTAAAATACATTTGATAAGGACAAATGCACTAACTAATGACAAAACTGTATCAAAGATATTTATATAAAAAAGGGGATGTAATCATAGGTAGGATTAATTACTAGTTACATTTTTATTGATCACTGGAAAATCAATTATGCAATCACCTACAAAAGCTATGTCATATATATGAATATTTCGTTTAAAAAAACTAGCAGTATATAATGAATACAAATGCCACTTTAGTTTTCAGCTCAACAAAATAACTAGATCTCATAAAGTAAATGGTTCTCACAAGTTACTTAACCTTGAATGTACTACTCACAATGATAAAACAGAACTGACCTCAAGTACTGCCTTACGAGTACTGTGATATCTCATCACTTGCATGGCCCAATCCAAAAGATGCTCGTTTCGGGGAACTACCACTCGTTCATGTTTTAAACGCCCCACTCTGTACTCATGACTGTCTTCTCGTCTTGGCAAGGGGCCCCGAGTTCGTTCCACATTGGCATCTCTTTTGTTTTGCAACCAAACAATGGATCTAAATGACAAAAGAAAAGCACCCCATGAAGCTGATGTACAAACAGCCACAGCCATGTGTGTGTGTCAGTATGGAATAGATGCAGTGTCACATCAATCAGAAACTCTAAGAAAAACAACCATTACAGAAGACCATAAAGATGAAGACAGTTTAAAAAAATGATAATTAGCATCAAGATATTTGTTGCCAGGTTTCAGTGTAAGAAGGTGTAAAAATAGAAAGTAAATATGCAAACAAGAAATAATATACAAGTCTTAACATGATGAGAGAATGGGTTGCTGTACCAGTAGTATGCGTAACAACAAGATGCTTTAGAAGACAAAAGAATATGTTTTTATGCACACACACACACAAAAGGATGAGAAACACATTCACAGATGCTGAACATGATATGATGATGTAAAGAAGCAAGATTAGTCTTTATTTGCCAGGTCTATAATCCACCTGAACTCAAAATAATTGAATACATACAAAATTTGTAAGTTTAGAAAATTTTAACAGAGCACAGGTTTTCATGGACATCACATCAGATCATAATGTTGGGTCTAGTATGTAGGTACTGCAATAGAATACTGACTGGATAAAATATTACTTGTAACATTACATTAAGAGAGAGAAAAAAAGGAAAGAACTACAAAATGAAGACATGGGGAAAAAACAAAGTACAGCTAAGGTGTCAAGAAATGTATTTGTCTTTATATCCTTCTTTCAAGTTTATAATCCAACATCAACTCATCTTCAAAGTTATAAATGGCAGGCCAGGTAAAGAAATGAATCCACAATATTGATTAAAAATATTCTGCACCTTAGTACCTGACTGAGGTATGCCTGTTCTTGCTTTATCTTGTGTTTTCTCAGATAGCATTTCATAAACAGTATAATGCTGGTAGAAAAGCAAAGGAGCTGAGTTACAAGTGAAGTTGAGAATTCCCCAAATTGACAAATGATTTCTGTTAGAAATTAATAATATATTATCCAAACAATATGCCAAACCTTACTGAATATCAACAGGCATCTTTAAAAGTTAAGATGAGTTATTAAGAACCGACATTACAGCATGTGAGATATTCTGATAAGTGCTCTGATCTCATCTTCAGAAGCTAGCGAAGAGTTCCACTTTCAATGGTACCAGTAACAGTTTGTCTCTGCTCATTTCTCCTGAGTCTTGAGTGTCAGCAAGATCCCCAGGTCACTTCTCTCTGCAACATTCTCTTCAGTCCATGATGATCTATTTGTACCCCTGCACTGATCCTCCCTCTGACAGGGCCCCTAAAATATCTCGCTTGTCACACATTCAATTTATCACCAAGTGGGGCAGAGCCAGCCAGTCCATCTAGCTGTTGGTTTCCCAACACACCTGCACACCTAAAAGAAAATATCCAAAGGATGCTACCTACACTTCTGTTTGCCACTCTGCATGGAGTATACTTGTCTCCACCTTCAAGGCATCTTTAGGGAAGAAGGAATTAAAACGTATAATATAAAGAAAAAAAGAAGATATGTAAAACTACAAACCTTGATGTTCCAAAAGCAGTGCAGGTGAAGTACAACTGTCTATTCTCAAAGGGAAACAACATAGGGCACCATCTAGTTAAATGCTCACACCAATCAGGTAAGGCACCGCTGGATAACACCAATGGATCCTACAATACAGAAAATCTTCATTACTGCATGCCAACATTTCAAGATTACATACATACATGCAAATTACTGGTTACAGTATGATCTACCTGTATTATTTGCTGCTATTTTAAAGATTGCATGTAATGTGAACATCAATTCTTCTCCTCCTTTTTGTTCACCAGCTGTAAGATCCGCTGGAAAGTCCTGGTTGTTAGTCCAAGGAATGAACAAATTACATTTGGCCATTCTAAACACTTATCTTTCAGACAGCAATTGTATTTTATAAATAAAGCATGTTATTCACATTTAACAAAATACATTAAATGAATATCAAGTTTAAAACAAAAACCAAAAAAGTACACGCAAATTCTCATTATGCTATCTTTATTAGTTTTCGATATATCTTAGTATTGGTTAAGTACAAATTTGGCTATTTTCGCCATAAAATGTGACATTTTCAATCAATTTCCGTGAAAATATGTTGATTATAGCCACCAAAATTAATTTTCCTTCAATCTTTAACTAGTATGTACCTATAGAAAGCAGTGATGTGGACATGTGCTCCAAAAATCGTCCCATCATCGTATCTTTCTAAGGGTATTAACAATGACGGAGCGATCCATTGGCTACCATCTGCAATAATGCTGAACAGGCCAATTTATCAGCTCTTTCATTGCTAACAAAATCAAAATTCCATGTGATGGGGATGAGAATAAAGGTAACTCCATATACAGTAGAGTTCTCACTGTACTACTGTGACTCTACTGTGTTAAATTTTGTAATGTT